ACACCATCCCCTTGATGCCGTAAGACATGTGGTGTAGAGCCATCACTCAAGTGGCTCAAGAAGGTGCTGTCGCGAGTCATGAGGACTAGTTCAGTTGTTTCCGTCTACACAAGCGTGGAAGTTTCTATTTTCTCTACCTCTCTATTGTTGTAAGTAATTATATGAGAGAGAATGTAGATAAGGAAGAAGACAATGAGAGTAAACATGGGACCCACAAGAAAAGAAATAGAAAATTAATGAAAAAAAAAGAGATCCAACTAGAAAATATGTGACAACACTTTCTTAAAACATTGACAGATAAGGGATGTTAAAAAGTGGGATCTGCAAAGGGCAATATAGTCAGATTATGATGTTGAGGAGTGTTTTAGCTAAAGAAGGAGTGGAAAAAGCGCGACCCTATAGATATATGAGATAAGTGCATTGGAAGTCATAAAACTTGTCATAAAAGTACATTCGAGTCCTAAAATTTTCAAAAAGTGCAATTAAGTCCTAAAACTTGTCACGAAAGTGCAATCGAGTCCTAAAACTTTCAAAGAGTGTAATCAACGGACAGACTCGATTGGACCAATTTAAAGCCTCATGCTCAATGCATTGCTCAGACAGCTTAGGATCCTCCTCCATCCCCGACTTGGGGTCATGGAACATTACCTTGTTCTGCACGTTCAACCTCATCACCACCTTGATGAAAAAAGTTTTGCAAACTATCTCTCTTTGAGGTTAAGAACTACCACTAAGGCGGGGGAAAGCTAATTCAGTAGTTGATTTGGGAACAAGTCGAGCATTGAAACCCAAATAAATTACCCACAATGGAAGTAAACATATTAGTAATAGAACCTTCTTCAAAAAAGTCTAAAGGGTAAGTAAATGGTAGATCCCGAGTGCCACAAAAATGACTCTTGAAGGGCGTCTAAGAATATATAGATTTTGTAATTAGTCATTATTGGTAAGCCTAAGAGAGGAAGGTTTCAATTCAATTTATTAACATATTCATTCATACCTGATCTATCCTACAATGTCTTAGTCGTATAGTATAGAAGGCAAGGCGGCCGACCACTACATACATAGGTGCGACGCGAAGCCAAAACCAAGCTATTTTGCTAATCAACTTCATTAAATTCACAATATCTGGAAGACAACGGCATTCGAGGAGAACTTGACGAATTAGATCTTGACGAATTAGATCCACCGGAAAGAGAACTACTTTTTTTGCCACTGTAATTTTGAAAATGAACATCGAAATGTACCAAAAACATTGTATGTCCCAGAATAGGTCCCATTCTTCTAACCTTTCTCGGGAATCAATGACTATATTTTTGCAACTTTATCCGCAGCTTATATAGGCAAATCCATGGAGGGTCATCATTACTCATTTTCAAAATAGTCGTTTTTTAGTTTAACCCAAGGTAATGTATATGTTACACTGATAAGGGATGTATGGATTCTCGAGAAGAGAGGAGCGATGAAGGTCCCCTCGAATTTTCTAATTTTTTTATTAATTTTTTTTGTCCAGGGCCGGTAGAAGGGTAGCTGGCCAAGGCCTAGCGACCCCTGCCAGACATTAGGCAATGGCCTGGCGACCCCCGTTAGCTGCTAGCGAGGATCGCGGCCCTCGTTGACCATTGGGTGAGGGCTCGAGCCCTCACCAGCCGCGATCCTCGTCCAGTGGCTAGCAAGGGCTTGCCACCCTAGCTCAGATCTAGGGGGGAGCTCGTGGCCAATGCCGGCTGCGTGCGAGGGCAACGGGCCCTCACCGACCACTAGGTGAGGGCCATGACTCTCACTAGCGGCTGGCGAGGGTCGTGGTCCACGCCCTGTGGCCGGCGGGGGTCACCGAGCCTTAATCAGTGGCCCCCTATCGACCCCTATAAATAAAAAAAAAGAAAAGGAAAAAAGAAAACATTAATAAAAAAACCCAAAAAAAATAAATTTAAAAAAAATTTCACGTCAGCGCCAGCCATGCTTTGTAGAACGCCAGAAGTCCATGTCATCAATTTCCAGCCAATTTATGGACTACATTAGTAAATTGTCAAAAATTTTATGACTAAATTAATCAAATTGAATGGTTTAAGACTGAATCCCCAAATTAGTACAAATGCAATAGATTTAGGACTTTTTTTTATATAATTTTCCCCTTAGGCTAGTGATATGCCATGGATGGGATGGGATTAAAAGGACAAAAGGCAAACTTTCTATGACCTTTTGGAGGACTGCCACCGTATGAGTCGCAAATGGTTTATTCATGGAAGATCACAATTCCACCGAATGCTGCCTTTTGAAATCCTGCTCCTCCGAAGAACATCCAACTCCCCCCCTTTAGAAGGCATCGCATGCTCGGTCGTCTCTCGTCGCCTTCGCCGAGTGATCCTCAATCACATGTTCTGGCGATTGATTGGTGAGGATACATGTATTGATTTTACGATCATCTTTGTTATTTACTGGAACGATAATGTTAAGGATATATATGACGTCATTTCAGGACTTTAATGTATGATTCGAGTATGACAATGCGTCGAAAAGGTCTGCCTCAAGGATGGTAGTGTACGATGTTCTCGCGAGGTTAAGATTGGATGAAGAGATGTATAAGGCATTGGAGTCCACAAGATCTTTTTTGAATTTCTTACGAGCATAAAGGTTACGGAGGTTTCATAGAAAGGACTAACTCAAGGTACTAACTCAAGGTATGATTGTTGGGGTTAAAGCAGCTTGATATTTGTACTCGTGATGAGGGATGAGCAAGATGAACCGCCCAAACTGGGACCGGATCGGACCGACCAGTTTGGTCCGATTCTCGAAAATATCGGTCCGGTTCCCGGTTCCTAAAAGTGAAACCAGTTTCCGGGCGGTCCGGTTCCCGGTTCTAGGGTGGGAACCAGATCGGACCGGACCAATAAATATATATTTTTCTAATTTTTTCATATATAATATTTAATATATATATGAAAAATATTTAATATTGGTCCCATTGGAACCGATTGTTCAATTTTTTCATATATTATATATATTTTTCCAATTTTTTACATGGCCTTATGGGATCAAATCAAAACTAGAAAGGAAAAAACGGGATAATCGGTTCCCGGTTCACAAATAATATTTAATATTAGTCCGACTGAAACCGAACCAGACCGGATCGAACCATCGGTCCGGTCCAGTCCACGGTCTCAAGATTAGACGGTCCGATCCCCGATCCTAGAAATTGGGAACCGGTCCTCCCGGTTCGGTTCCTGATTCTTGGGTTGGACCGGACCGGACCGGACCGGAAACCACTCACCCCTACTCGTGATTGCCCAGCATTGTTGAGAGGGGTCATGATGGATATAGTTCTATCCGTGATTTAAAAAAATTTATTTTTATTCTCCTTTTAGAATTCTGGATCAAGCAAATGTAACCTTTTATTTGCATAAATAAAATTATAGGAAACTTAAGCATTAACCTAATTGATGATATGAGTCGATATATATATTGTGGTAAAATATTTTTTTAACATATACATATATACATATATATATATATATATATATATATATATTTCTACAAACAAAACCTTGTAATGTAAACTAGCGATAGTAATATGTTTCTTTTGCATAATTATCGATTATAATATCACGATAAAATAGGTTCAGTCCTTAATAGGGGTGTGCAAAACGAACCGCCTGGACTGAGAACCGTGTAATGTAAACTAGCGATGGTCCGGTTCCCGAAAGTGTCGGTCCAGTTTCCAATTCCTAAAAGTAGAACCGGTATCTGGGCTGTTCGGTTCCAAAGGGGAACTGGACCGACTACATATATGTTTTTTTATTTTTTTATTTCTTCAAAAAATTAGTAAAATGTGAACTAAAGCCACATATAATGTTTTCCCCTTATCGTCGCACCACAATGACTCTTCACTTATTGCCGCTTCCATCAATATGTTGAGATCTATCACTCTCTCTTGTTGTGGTGATAAAAAAAATAAAAAAGTGATCGGTTCCATTGGACTGAATCAGTCCTCGATTCTCAAAATTGGAAACCGGTTTGGCTGCCGATTCCACCTTGAAACTGGACCATATCAGGAACGAATCACCTCTAGTCCTTAACGCCTCCAACTAGCTCTTTTATTCCGTTATTTTTTTTCTCTTTTTTTTAATTTTTTTTATCTGTTGTCAACTTTCTTTCTTAAATGCACTGTATTTCGCTGATATCCAAAGTATTATCGAACTATAATTAAAATTTGACAAGGATTAGTACCACAGAGAACATTGGTGGCCTCCTTGGCCCACTATAGATTTGCAGATAAAGATTTTCAAAACAAGGCATATCCCTTAATTTTTTGTCACCGTACTGTACTTATGGCCCAAGACAATACTTTCTATTCAAAAATAATTTACGGTGGACTTTTGACTTACAGATAATTTGAGCGGACAATTTTATTGGCTATTGAACTGAACCAAACCAAAATTGAATTCGACAAAAACTAGGAATGATCCCTTCAACTGACTCACATCTTACGAATTGGATTAGGAATCGGTATACTGTCAAACTAGGATACTTATCCTATATGATGAGAGTGACTTATGTATACAGAGTATCAAGTTAGATGGCGAATGCATGGACCCAAGCATCAAAGTATTCGTCCCTTACTTCACTTCCCATCGGCTGCCGCCTGGCACTAGCAGCCGTTCTCTTTCGTTTCCGCCCTAGAATCGCTGCCGCTGGCCGCTGAGAGTACGGTACCGCCTCAACGATTCTCGATCGCCATCACGGGACGGCCGCGACTGTCGCGTGGATCGAATTGTGGTCGGGTAAGTACCAATTCCTGTCTCGTTTCTTCTTCTTCTTCTAAAATAGCCTATTGGTTTTTCTTTGCTATCGTCTGCGTCCTTCGTCAGGAAGAGATTGTGGAAGTTGATGATGGTTCTGGCTATTTAGTTCTTCCGCATTCCTTGTACGTTTCATAATAAGTCGACAATAAGACTAACAACTTTAATTTAACGATTAAAAATAACGCTAATTTTTTAGGGGCCATGCAGATTGGTGTACGTATTTGCCAGAAGATGGAAAAGGATGCCTCGGACGTTGTCAAACAAGAGCAAAAGAGCTACCGAAATCCTCCTCCCGGCAATCCATCTTGCCCTTGGCTCGTGATATGCCATGGACGGGAAGGGCAGAGGCAAACTTTCTACGACATTTCGGAGGACCGCTGCCATACGAGGATCATTCCCGACCTGCGCAACAAGTGGATCTGCGCTACTTCGAGTCGCGAATGGTTGTTCGTGGAAGATCAAGATTCTGGCGATTGCTGCCTTTGGAAGCCCGCTTCTCTGGAGAAAATCCGACTCCCGCCTACGGAAGACCTCGTGTTCTCTTGTTGTTTCTTGTCGTCTTCGCCGAGCGATCCTCAATCACATGTTCTGTTGGTTGATCTAGGAGAGGACGTCGTCGCATTTTGCAAACCCGGCGAGGATGCATTCAAGAGGCACAAGGTCGAACCTTACATCAGTTGTGCCGCGATGTTCAAAGGGCAAATTTTCTTGCTGCTCAAGTATTGTGAATTGGCTGTTGTCGACGTAGAGAACTCGGAGCTGCGAATCCGAGCATTGGGGAACAAAGGCATTAATTGGTCAAATCCCGGAGGCATACCGGCATCGCGCAGTTATCTGATCTCATCCGGCGAAGACCTGGTAGTCGTGGAAGAGATGATCTACGCCCTTCCAATGGGGCGGATCTACGGATTTAAGGTCTTCCGGATGAATTTTGCAGAAGGGACATGGGAGGAGCTGAAAAGCATCGGCGACCGAGCAATCTTTCTTTCTGCTCGTGGAGGAATTTCTTGCTCTCCAAAAGACTCGAGAGTTAAGAAAAATGCCATATACTTTGTGCAGCTTGGCGATGGACATATTGGCATGTATGACTTGGAAGATCAGAGCATTTCGAAGGTGTCGCCTTGCTCAAACATCGATTACCGTCCATCATATTTACGTTGGATTATGTTGTGACACATGACGTCATCCGATATGAAATAAAATCTAAAGAGTTGATGTATGTTTTGAGTAAGACAATACAATAAAAGGGTACATCTCAGGAATGGTACCGTACCACATTCTAGCAAGATTAGGATTGTATGGGAGACATACGAGACATTAGTGTCCATAAAATTTCTCTGAATTTCTTGTAAGCATAAAAGGTTATGGAGATTTCACAAGAAGGATTAACTTAAAGTAAGATTGTTCGGGTTAAAGTTGCTTGACATTTGTAATCATGATTGTTTAGCATTGTTGTTCCGGTCATCGGAAAAATCAAGTGTTTGTCGGTCAGAGAATTAGGCCCTTATTTGAGATAAAATCCGCATTGAGTAGGGGTGTGTAAAGGAATCGAGAACCGTTCAGAACCGGACCGGAACCGGCAGTTCCCGTGGGGACCGGTCCGGTTCCCGATTCCAATTTACTAGAACTTGTGAGTATCGGTCCAATTCCCGGTCCTAGACGTAGAGCCGTCCGCCTGCCCACTTGGACCGGACCGGTAATATATATATGTGTAATTTTTAAGAAAAATTCCCAGAAAAAAAAAAAGAAAACATTTTAAGAAAAATGAAAACCCTAAAATCCCTAATATAAAGCTCAACACTCATCAACTAAGTACTCGTCTTGTCTCACTCAATCTCGCTCTATCTGAGTTGTCTATCTATCTCTCATTCATAGTCTCGGCCGTTAAGCTTATCGCCTATTGACTCACGACCTCAGCTCTCAACTCCTATCTACTCACGGTTGCGCACCTCCGGCCATTCATCGCCTCCCTCTCTCGCTCTTGGCCAACTCCATTGGGACCGGTTCCATGGATCCACCCGGGAACCGGCAGTCTAGTTCAGTTCTTGGGTGGATTGATGAAACCAATGGACGGCTTCCGGTTCCATGGTGAAAACCGTCCACTCGGGCCATGCTCACTCCTAGCATTGGGTCCTCATTTAAGAAAATCACTCTACTTTGGATTTTTTTTTTGAATTTTCCCTGAACCAAGCTTAAACTCCAAATATACGAAGTTTTTAATGTATGCACTTTTCGAAGTTTAGTGTTGCGTTTTGCTTCCATTATGTCTAAAGGGATTCACATGGTTTCATCTTTCATTTTGTTCTTTTTTCTTCAGCTTTTATTCGTCCCTTCCATAAGCCCATTGACACTAAAAAGAAATGACGGTATATACTTAGTGGAGACATTAATTACCCAAAATCAGCAATCGAAATTGTGCCAGCGTGGCAGGAAGTAACGATATATATATATCGCACTTTCTCTCCCTCACATAATCAGAGAGAAAGAAAAATTAGAAAGAAAAGAAAAGCAGAAGGAGAAGGAGAAGCGGGAAAAGGAGGAGGAACGACGCACGCAGCCAGAGAAGACACGTCGAAGAAGATGGCAGGAGATCCCAAGAAGAAGACTGGCAAGAAGGGCTCGAGCTCTGTTCCCAACCCAAAGAACAAGAAAGGGATCAGAGAGGATTTGCAGAGAAGCGGGTTCAAATGTCGGAGATGCCCTCGGGGGTTCAACACTCTGGATCAGTTGATACAGCATGTGAACGATAACCATAAAACCTAAAGGGAGTAGAAGGAGGAGACCAATCCTCCTTCAAACAACAAAATATAGCAAGTTAGCTTTTAGTTTCTGTGCATTGTTTAATACGTGATCGCTTTCCTTAACGTGTGCTTTCTTTTTTTGTCTGCAGGTTTCCATCACGTCAAGAACTCTTGACGTCAAGTTCTTGAATCAAGAACTCTTGAACCCACATTTTCTTTTTTTGAAAAACAGAATTTCTTCTTGTTTTGATTAATTTTTAACATTGATTCTTAACGAGCCTGATATGGATGACTGTGATGGCTTTGAAAATCAGGGAGGATGCGGTTGCAATGGTTGAAGAATCACCATTAGGTACTAAATGTTTCTTCTGTGTGCGTGTCCTCGTTAGTTTTCCCCTTTCAATGGTTTCCCTTCACATAAAGCTAGGAGATCAAAGATTCAAAAGAATATATTAAATGGTCGGAGAAAGAAGATGAGGAGATCGTTGTGATATAGGAAACTGGGTTCAGGATCCTGCATTATATTGGGTGCGGATTCGAGGTTGTATACTGCAATCCATCTTTTGTCATGTTACACTAAACCCGTCTTGGTAATCTGTTAGGCGATGAAGCGGTAACGACTCAGGCTGGAGCATGGACTCTTCCACAGTTTTTCCCGCTTTTTACGACTTATTCTTAAGCTGTAAGTTGGGTTTCTCTTCTCTTCCTCTTTGCTCCCCTGCTTCTTTCACGTGTCCTCTAGCTGGAGGAGGACTGGATATGTGTTGTACGCCGTCGCTGTGTATTGCGAAGTCCATTTGGATTCTCGATGGTGATTTTCTTTTAGGAATGTTGTCCTGTCAATTCGGTCTTTGTTTTGTGGTTACGACGGGGTCGAAAGTAGGAACTGGTCAGCGTTGGGGGACTGCAGCATCCGCCTGGATGTTCTTTATTATTGTCGCTATCGCCGGTGAAGTGATCTAGTAGAATTAGAGCATGTTGTTGGCTAGCAGAATTAGTAAGAATCGAGTATCTCGTGGCACAAGGTACTCCGTGGGATCTCGTGATTGTCCGTGCTCTTGGTAAAGGCGTTGGTAAATGTTGAGGGCACGATGACCTTCCCTTTGTTGTCCAAGCATTTCTGCGGACCATCTTGTAGGATACTCAGAATTATGCGGAAAAGAGTCCCTTTTCACTGATTTCTGCTTTCCATTAATTTTTTATCTTCTGAAGTTTAAGGTTATGGCGAAGTATTATACGCCGGTGCCTCTCTCTTATTCCTGTTTCGTGTCCGATAATTTCTGCAGCTCTTTCAACCTATATTACTTGGAAAACTGTTCAATAGTAATTTTGGAGGTGATCATTTGTTATTAGATCGTCACCCTCTCATGTTTGTGTGATTAGATATGTCGTTCGAAGAAGAGGCATACAAAATTGCCATTTTCCATCTTGGTTGTAAGGCATGTCTGCTTCTCCAGCTAAACTTGGCTCCATAGACTTGTAGGATGATGATGTGTTCCTTTAAATACTGTATATGTATGCATTACCTTTTACTGGTTCGAACGATTCTGCTGGAACATTACTTAGGACAGGTGTTACTACTAGCAGCGCTATCTTGCTTTGTTCTGCTTGTCCATGATCAATTTTTGACATCTTCTTTTCCTTTTACTTAGGCAATATATGTTATTTTTTTTATGGGGTTTTATTCTTCAGCGCACAGAATAAAAAATCGATATTGGTGACTTCCGAGTGAGAAATGCATAAATTTCCACTCAAGATGTCACCTGCTTATGGATACACGGATTCTCATCCCCGTCAGAGCTACATGACGCCTTGCAGGCAACATCACCAGGCAACGCCAGATGAGATTCCACCTCAACTGGGGATCAATCCAACCGTATTTCCTGTTCCACGTGAGCCCTTGCCATACCCTTATGCTGGTAATTGCAGCTATCCTGCGCCATGCCGTGCTTGCTATAACCACACGGCAACTCCCAGCTACTATCACAGACCACCCTACCCTCACTTTTTCCAGCCACTGCCGTTTCATGGTTGGGGACCTTATCCTGGGAATGGCGAAACCTTTGCTAGTCATTATGAGCTGCCCTACCCACCAGCTTATCCAATGGAACGACCATATATGGCTCAACAAGACCATTGCTGTGGATGCCTTAATCATGTATGTGACCCAAAGAACGAAAAGGGTGTCAAGATAGAAGAGCAGGTACCACTCGATTCAGACAAGAAGGGTGAGAATTATTCAGAGTCCTTGGTGCCAGCGAACTGGAGAAACTTTCCATATCCGATTGTTTGGATCCCACCTGAAAATAACAGGAACAAAGAGCAGGGAACCCATACCAAACCAAGGATCACGGATCTTGATACTGCTTCCCAAGAAAAGAAACCAGCTCTTTCATCATTGCAGAAGGAACCTGGGTGGAATCGTTGGTTTCCTCTCTTCATGGGTGACTATGACCATTCAAAATCAGGAGGAGAAAAGAAAAGATCAAATAAAAGTAACTATTCGTTTCCTGTCATCTGGATTCCTTCTTATGATAAACAGGAGGAGGCAGGGGCAGAGAAGGACCAACAAGCCAATACACGGGAATCTCCTAAATCCAATTTCACGGTATTGCCGATGCGGATTCATAACAATCATAATAAAACTTCAGATGGAGGACCGCAAGAAAATTATGAAAATGAAGTTGGGTCACACCAGCAGGATGCAGAGAAGAACATTCATGTGAAAGACATAGAACCTTGTGTGGGCAAGAATAACTCGCGAGACTCTCAAGAAGCAGCAGCAAATGCCTTGAACAAAAGAGCTATAAATACACTCGTTGATAGAGTCCCTGGATCTGATGCCAGAAAGTCATCATCATCCCCGACGAAAACATCAAAGTTGCCCCCAGTTTGTCTGAGAGTTGATCCCTCGCTGAGCAAGAAAGGCCACAATGGTAGTTCAAGTTCTCCTAGTCCTCCAAGTTTTGAAACGAAATCTCACAGTTCAAGTGATGCATCCTCTACAGACAGTAACGAACAAAAGTCACGCCCCCAAAGCATAAACAGAACTTCAGAGGAGCACCCGAAAAGGAAAGAAGTGAAAGTCATTGAGGTGAAGGGGGAAACTCCTAATCCTAGCGACAACAATAATGGAGACTTACAAAGCAGTTTGCAGGTTGAATATTCAGAAAAGATTAAAGAGAACAAAGAACACAGTGAGAAGGAGGAGGTTTGTGAAATTAAAGAGGACGAGGGAGCTACAATTGCACGTGATGAAAGCACCGAAAAAAGAAGTAAGGAGTTGGGAGCCTCAAGAACTCTATCTGATGAAGAAGCTGCTATGCGCATTCAGTCTGCCTTTCACGGTTTCCAAGTGAGGAAATGGGAGACCCTGAAGAAACTAAAGCAAATGGCGAAGGTTCGTGATGAGGTGACTAAGGTAAGGAAGAGTATCGAGGAGCTATCATCTTCATATGACACTTTGCCTGATCAAGGGAAACTTGAAAGGCAGAAAGTACTCATTGGAGAATCTATAATGAATCTTCTTCTACGACTTGATACAATTCAGGTAAGTCAGTTGATATAATGAATTATGTTGTTTACATTTTACTTAACTCTGTAGGTAGAAGAGAGCAGGGTAGGAGCCCCACATTCAATGGTAATCATGGAATTGTCGGAAAATGAGAATCGAGATAAGGGAAGGGCTTGATCATGCTGTGGCTTTTCAAGTGTCACTTTTTTTATTTCACGAATATTTTGGGTTTATTAGATCTTGAAGTGCCTTTCAATATTTGAAAACCTTTTTATTAATCTACACAACCATGTTATTGGTTATCACGACTTGGATGCTAGGACACTGCAACTGAAGATTTAACGAAAGAGTGCTCATCTTAACCTTTTCAGTTGTAAGTCTTTGAGTTTGCTTTTTGCTATGGATAGCTGAAAACTTTTTATGGACTTATTTCTGTGAGATGCTTCTAGTTCTCTTTGTTGATTCTAGATTGTATTCCTGCTCCAGGGATTACATCCTAATTTGCGAGATATTCGAAAATCATTGGCGAGGGAGCTAGTTGCTTTGCAGGAGAAACTCGATTCTTTGACAATGAAGTGCCTGGAGGAATCTGTTGATAACTCTGATACTGCTAGGAATGATGAATGTACGGTCAGCAAGAAAGAACACCATGAGGAAGCAAAGAGACAGTTTGAAGAGAACCTTTCAGTTGGTGAGAACATTGGCGGTCAAATTAAATCAGACGAACTGCAACTTCTCGAGGTTGGAAATTCAGTATCTGAACCCTCAGAGAATGCATGCTCGGGTATCATTGATGGTCAGACACAAGTGGCGGTCAAGGATTTGAGAAGCGAAGCATCAGCATCCTTGGATGTGGAGTCGCAACAAGCTGCCTTGCAGCATTGTCCTGTACAGGACTTCAGATATCTAAACGAAATTGATGATGGCGAACCATCTGTGGTCAGCATTATAAAGCCTATAGAGACTAATCCGGACCATCCTACTGGAGGAAAGTATGAGAGACTAGAGGTGGCCACGGTGGAGAAAAGTATCTATGATTCTATGGTTGAAGATGAGATTAGGCTGGCATCCGATTCGGGAGATGGAAGCAGCACAAAGATGGAGTTTATGATCAAAGATCAAGGAACTTCTGCTCTGCAACCATTGCCACGAGCAGATGAGGAGAAAGGAGCCATGGCATCGGACAGTGCGGGAGTGGAGCCGGATACTTTTACTGGCCCAACCCTGTGCACTGGAGATGATGACTTGATATCTCATGGAAGAGAACCTGAAGTGGAAGCAGCGAGCAAGATTCATGTTGCAGAGGAAGATGTTGCAGATTCTGTGCTGAGCAAGCATGATAAGTTTGGTGAAGTAGATTCTGTGCTCAATGGACCTGATAAGTGCGATGAAGGTAGCGATGCTGTTACTTCTCCAGAAAATTTTGGCAAACTGACCATTGAGACGCAGCAGCTGGAAGTGCCCAAAGCATTGACTTCAGATTCGGAAGTAGTTGACAATGTGCATCTAGAGCAGCTGGTTGCACCAGGACCAGATGATTTGTCACCTGCTGGCTCTCTAAAGAGTGAGGATTCTTCTGAGGATGCATCCAATGGAGCGGAACGAGACCAGAGACATGAAGATGGTATCAGCGATGAAACTCTTTTGCCTCCTCGACCGGAAGAAGCTCAGCCGGGGATGTTAGGACCCGCAGTGGAAACTTGTCGAGATGACAATGAAGACAAGGCCATTATCTCTGCTGATCTTAGCTGCAATTGCTCTGACATGTTGAACGTTGAAGCTCTAGCTTGGGAGAAGGAAGAATTGATCGCAGCGAATGTGAAGGATATTGACCTGACGACACATGTTGGAGAGCAAGTGGATGAACAAGGAGATAATCGCGAGGAGGAGGTGGTTGTTGCTCCGGAAAAACCTATCTCAGATGAAGGTGCTGAGCAAGTCGAGCAGTCACTGCTTAGTCTCGATGATTTAAATGTGAGCAGGCCTGTGGAGGAGATGGACGGCAATCAGAAACTAATCAAAGAGAACGAGAAACTGAGGGAGATGATGGAGAAACTGATGGAAGCGGGGAAAGAGCAGTTGAACTTGATATGTGAATTGACTGGAAGAGTGAAGGATTTGGAGAGGAGATTGGCCAGGAATAAGAGGGTGAAATCGAGGTGCAGAACGGTGGGGGCGAAGCCTCGATCTGTGCATGCCAAGTCATGCGCGGATTCTGTGAATTGAGAGGGTGGCTGATTAATGTCTCATAGGCAAGTCTTCACATAAGTTTCTGGGAGATGAGATAGTTTGGTGATGCGGGTGTACGTTGGAACAAATACAAGTTTATGTCATGGAATAACTGTCTGTTGTAAAGCTTGTCCTCTGTGTTACTGGCTTATTGTTTCAATTAGTGTTTCGCATGATGACCGTGTGTTTTCTGTCTCTGTTGCATAGATGCACTGATGCATACTTTTTTTTTTTGGTCAGACACTGATGCATACTTTAAATAGATCTAGCTCTCTGACGAGAACAACATGAACTTATAGCAAATTTCCTCGACTCTTTCCCACAATGCAAGAAGGCCTGGCCCAAGAAATGCAACACCAAAAGGCCAAACTGGGCTGTGAAAGAATGAAACCGCTCTTGTGAATACATTATAGATGCGGAAAGCCCAAAATGCTGGAGCCATCAATCTTTGGGCCAAGCTTGTGGGTATCATCCTTTTTACCAAATCTGCTGACGAACGAATCATCTCCTTAACGACATTTCCTCTTAAGCTGTCCTTACGTCCAAACCACCTGTAGGAAACTAAATTGGTTACACAGCCTGCAATAAGCGCCCTTTGCCGATGCCCAGAATCGTGCCATTTATAGACACCTGCAAAACGTCATCGATTCGCTCACCAAAAGGAAGAAACTAAAAGGGGAACTTGCATGAAAATGAACGGGCAAAAATGCCCAAGTGAAAACCTGTTTTCACTAGTCTGGAATCACGAGAGAAAAACCTGTCATCACCATCGAAACACCAGTCACTCACTGACCAAATGGTGCAAATCTGCCTCTTGAATCGTGCAGTGCGCGACACCACTTACGAACACGGGGAAAATTAAGAAGAAGAAGATGAAGAAGAGCAAGAGCAGGAAAGATGGCACGAAGCACGATGACACTGACTGAATTGACGTCGAAAAATAAAGCTAAAAAAATCTTTCTTTTTCCTTTGCATGGGGATCGATACACGGCTCTGATGCCTGCTCGTCCCTCCTGTCTGCTCCATCTGCTTTCTTTATTTGATTTTACCCCCTTGACATCTCCAGATTTCTCGCCGACTCTGCAACAAAGTGCACGCACACAGACGCAGACACACACCCATTATTTTATGCATTTTTGTTTGTAAACCAAAACAAGAACCGTCTCTGCTCTCGGAGGTGATTGTGACTTCTTTGTGGGGTCATATTCAACTCAACTACACCTTTTGTAATCACCCATTATCTGTATTTTAACTTCTATCTGTCTGGTCTGGTCGCAGAGGAAATTTGGCCTGCTGGGTCTCGTAAAGAAACGTCCAGTCTTCACTTTTCGTCCTTTTTCTTCACCTTACCTCCATTAGGGTTGACGAGGGTGAGCTTGCACAAGTTTTAAATGCGCCCAAGTTTAGCAGAGCGGTTTCAGACCTTGCGACACCCCTACAAACGTATGAATCCATGCTCGTACATAGTGAATTCATTGTGCCTGGTCTAATGTACAGTGCACGTAGTGATGATGTTCTGTCCTTCTTGTTGGAAACTCGAAGCATTAGTTGTCACCCTCGCATCTTCACTAAGGAAATTTGTCTATGGACGATGTGGTCGACAGAATCAAGATACATCTCCAAAGCTCGTGCCTTTTGATATACAAACAGCTTGGCCAACTCGGACGATTCGATGAGTTTAAATACTTCCTTTTCTCGACGTGCAAGACCAATCGTTCCGTGACTAGCAATGAAATTAATTGGACATATTTAATGCATGGAATGGACCATGGGAAGATCCGAAATCTTCATCTCGTCACTTGGTGATGGGCTCTACAATGATTGAATGGTCCAAACTCGCCTTGTTGCCAAGCTTTGCGCGCTTCCAGTTCCTGTGCTTGGACAATGTCCTTGTTTTGGTCACTTGCCCCTGATTAATAAGTTAATTAATTGATTATTATAGAGTGCATAAGCTTCTGATCTCGCTCTTTTCTATAGTTCGATTCTGATGTCCATGAATGACATGTAGTTCAGTGGTGGTTGAGAGTCATGGACGCCTAGTTCATAGACCACAGTCGGGTCATTTTCACAACTGCTCTGCTCACCTAAACCTGCATTATGAGCTTTCATGCCCTCATCAAACTTCGAAAATATATATAAATGTAAAAAAAAATCTGATTTATTTCCTCATATTCTTTTTTTGGGTTGAAAGAAAGCTTCCATAATACTCGATAGGTACATTGAAGATTTTCAAGCCTAGCAAAGCAAATACCGAAATGCAAATAACAAAGCATAGTCTGCAACAAGAGGCACGCTCTCGTCCCTCAAGAATAGATCTGCCACCGTTCGGCGGTCGATCACCAGATTCAGTAATAAACACGTGCTTATATCTCAAACTCCATATGCAACAGCTTGCGGTACACATCTAGATTTAATGTCCTTATTACCATCGCCGTGTAGAGATATCAGAAAGAATACAAATCGAATACTTGTAAGAAACTTCCATGTTTATATTTAGATCTAGTTCGGGAGAGTAAAATCTCCATATCAATCTAGACAGGAGAGCGATCTAATCTCGAAGAGGTTGTGAAGCCATGTCACAAACATCTTCATCGATGGTTGTCGACTGGACGAATGGGCAAACTAGTCTCCACATTCACCCAAGATCAGCCGCAAAAAATTATCACGCACAAACTCCCAAAATAGAGAAAAAGTAAAAGAGAATCAAAGCAATAAAAAAAAAAACACAAAGGCTGGGAGAGCTTAAAAAAAAGTGAAGAGTTTTTGGGAGATGAAAGGGATTTGCCGACAAAGAGAGAAAAGAGCGCAGCCCTAGACCTTTCCTCATATTCATTAGTATATAGTCTGCCATCATTAGCAAGATTTGAGCATTGGCTAGGTGGGAGGACATCAATGTTTTCATGCAGGCTCTTGCTATAATAGCTCGCTTCGCAACATTATGAAAATTGACAAATTGCATGTCACAAGCATACTACGTACCAAAGAAGAGAAGATTGTATTAGGACGGGGCGTCTCATTATAGCCATTACATAGCGATCTACGTGCACTCTTTCAAGTCTATTCTCTACTTTGTAACATATAAGATTATTATTTTTCTAACAAAAAAATATAAGATTATTATTTCAAAATGCAAACGCGTTCATTCTAGTCAATATTATCAGTTCCAATAATGTTGATACATTAAATAATGCTATGTTCGAGATTTCTCTTGTATTTCGTAATGTCATGTTTAATAGTATGCGCAACTTTTTTTTTATGTGTTTACAATTATATTACCGTACTTTTATATATATATATACACACATGAAGACCTACAAATAGGCTCATTTATTGGTGGTCCTTTTTTCTTCTTTTTTCTCTTTTTTTTTTCGAGTGGTTGATTGAGTTATGTAAGAATCAATAGAGGAAATATGAGACTATTTTCACACCATTTTTACTAAAAACCACCTATTTTAATGAACCGGCCAGGATGCCCTTCAAAACCCTATTCGAGCAAGCATTATCAATTTTTTTTCTTTCCTTCCTATTTTCTCTTTCTTCTTGTTGCACGTTGTTTAAAATCAAAAGCCATCACTTTCATCCTCCAAAAGGGTCTCGTCATATTTTTTCTTGCCATGCTAATTAGGGAAGAATTACCCAATCGGTCGTAAACCTATTATATGGATACTAATTCAATTTTAAACTTTTCAATTTTGCCAATGTAGTCTTAAGCTTTTGTGAAAAATTTTAATGTAGTTCTTCCGATCAATTACCATAGGAAATTGTTGATGTGATGTCCAGTCATCGCCAACTGTCCTATATGACATACTGAGGTCAATGGAAAAGGAAAGCCCCAGTTGATTGGTTACGCAGATGCATATCTCGAAAGTCCATGTCAGGTTACATGGCAACTTTTGCCGAGAAGGCAGTTTCTTAGCAATCAAGATTATAAAAATGTGTGGTATTGTCTATGACTGAAGTAGACTACTAAATGACGTCAGGTATTGCTATTACAGATTGAGATAAGGAACTCTCGTGGATGAATAAATTCCTATAAGAGTTGGGTTTGAAGCAAGAGAAATTTGTTTTGTATTGTGATTGTATGAGTATTATCTACCTTAGTAAAAAATTCGAGTGCTATATTCAAGATCGAAGCACGTTGATGTGAAATGTCACTGGATTTTCGAGAAATTAGAAAAGAAACTCTTTCTACTTGAAAAAGTCCACACCAATAATAATAGATTTATATGATGACCAAAATCTAATCCATGGTAAAACTTGATTATTGTATAAATAAAGCGGACATGAGGGAGCTTCCCTTACAAGGTGAAGGAGGAGATTTGTTGGGCCGGTCCCCCTCTGGGACCCAACTCATCATTATTAAAGAAGCAGAAGAAAGAAAGAAAGAAAAGATGAGAGATTTGAACGGGCAAGAGGGACCACAGAAAAGTTTAAAAAAAAAAGAAGAGGTAGAGAGTTCGCCGATTTGGAGAGGAGAAAAGGCAGCCAACTACCAAGAAGATTCGACGGTGAAATATTGTCAGAATTTGCAATGTTGCTCGTGAAATCAAGAGTTACAAAGTAAATACTCTAATAATTGAAATCCTTCTCCAAATTATCTCTCATTTTTTATGACAGTGGTTAGATTTTTCTTAACCCTTTGTGTTAATCCACTATTATGATGATGATATATTGTCATATTATGAGAAATGTATACTACAAGTCCTAAAACTTGTCGCGAAAATATAATTGGATCTTAAAATTTTCAAAAAAATGCAATTAAGTTATAAAACTTATCAAATTAGTGCAATCAAGTCCTAAAGTTAGCACCATCAATTTGTCTAATGAAAAATGTTGACGTGACATTTTTAAATTAATTTCTCTCTCCTACGTGGCATTTTTTAATTATTTTTTCCCTTAGATCTTATTTAAAAATATTAAAAACTTTAGAAAAAGCTAAAATAATTATAAAAAAACTGGCGAAAAAAAAGAGGGCAAGGACTCGCTGGTGGGCTTTGCCGTTGGCGACCTTTGCCAACCCCGCCGCCCCAAAGGGGCTGGTGAAGGTCGTTGGCCTAGGGCGAGGGTGGCCGGCCTAGGCAAGGCCCGGCGAGGCTCACCTAGACTAGGTTGAGGGCGCCCAGATTTGGGCGACGCTGGCCCTAGGGCCGACGACCATCACCCG